TATATATATATATATATATATATATTGTATAACAAAAAAGCAGTTAAAGCAGTACTTCGTCTGTAGTTGCCCCCATGACTCTCAGTATCACTAAACCTGGAAGACTGAGAACATACTGTGAATGCAGGAAGTCATGGGCCCGCCCCTGATGGGACCTCACCACAGCACTCTGCATTCACTGTGTAATTGTGCAGAGATAAGCATTGGTGTCATTACATTATAGGAACCTCTGCATCATTGAGGACCCTCAAGCCAAGAGAGGAGGAAAAAGACCCTGTGGCGTCACATGACCAGTTTAAAGATATTGAAAAAAGTGAGTAAAAAAAATGCATAAATTACAGGATGGGGAAGGCCATTGGGGGGATGTAGGAAGCTGATAGTTGGGTTTTAAAGGCTTTGGGTGTCACTTATGCATGCATTAGGGTTACAGCATGACAATGTATTTTATTTGTTGAGGGCACTTTTTTTATTAATTGAAGAGAGGCAATCAAAACAAAACCAACTTTTAAAAACGTGTAATGTCTGTGTAAGAAAAAGTACACATTTTTTTACCAGCTGTCGAAATACTTCCACTGACATTAGGAGGGACGCCAGAAAAACAGTCAGTCACAAAAAGGGCAAAGACACAAAACAAAATGCTGTTTCTCAACATGTATAAAGGGAAGAACTTACGTTGGCAAGCATTCCTCTTCTCTTCAAAGCCTGGTTTGCAGGAGCAGCGACCAATAGGTACCAGCCAGCCACCATCAGCACTACAGTACATCTTAGGCACATCAAACTCCACTGAGTTATTGACACATGTTCCTTTTACTTCCACCAATGCTGAATCCCCTCCAGTAACAGTGTCAGGGAATTGGGCCAAGTTACGGATGGTCGTTGGACACTTTTTGTAAAAGACACGGACTGATACCAAAGCAATACATGCTCCAACATCTTGAAAAGCCAAATAGAAGCCTTTCTTGTACAAGTTACTAATGTCTCTTACTTCTGTATTGAGCTTCATGACCCGGTCACCAACATCCACCTGGGTAAAACTCTCATCTGCAGCAATAGTGTCAATTTTAATGAACTGATTCTCATGAATGTGCCACAGGTTGCTGTTGTTCGACTCATAATAGTACATGTTGAAAGTTTCCTTGCAGGTGCCCGATACCCCTGGTAGACTATTGCAGTCTCTCAAGGTAAACTTGATCTCAATATACACACGTTGGGCCTCTCCTCTCGGGATCCAGCTGGTCCTCAACCAGTTATTTTGGTTGACTTCTAATACATTGCAGACTTGGTACGTTCTCATAGGTGTGTTTCTTTCATCCATTACACTGATTTCTTCCCACTGGTATGAATAAACACAAGGATAAATGTGTGTAAATGAAAAAACATATATGAATAATTATTAGGCCTAATATTTAATGTATTTAACACCCTGCCAATCACAACTTATATATTTTAACGGGCTACACAGAACAAAATATTAAAACATTACAGACTGATTGCAAATAAATAATATTCTACATTAAGATATGTTTTTTCCAGCATCATATTCTCACTTTACTTCTGGCAAAATCCCCTCCAACCTAGGCTAGCCACAGAAAATGATAAATTGATGCAGATGCCCAAAGTTTATTTTTGGCATTGGCCATTGGTATTAACCGGTGTCTTCATGCACTATCACACTATCATTAAAACAATGCAAAATAAGTAAAACATAAATATATATACTTCAGATGGTGTCAAGCGTGTATGGCGGCAACCAGGTGAGGAGTCACAAAGACAAGTGTGTCTTGCCTACAGTCAAGCAAAGTGGTGGGAATGTCCTGGTCTAGGTCTGCATGAGTGGTGCCGGCACTGGAGAGCTACAGTTCATTGAGGGAACCATGAATGCCAACATGTACTGTGACATACTGAAGCAGAGCATGATCCCGTCCCTTCGGAGACTGGGCCACAGGGCAGTATTCAAACATGATAACAACCCTAAACACACCTCCAAGACAACCACTGCCTTGCTAAAGAAGCTGATGGTAAAGGTGATGGACTGGCCAAGCATGTCTCCAGACCTAAACCCTATTGAGCATCTGTGGGGCATCCTCAAACGGAACTCTAACATCCATCAGCTGCGTGATGTCGTCATGGAGGAGTGGAAGAGGAGTCCAGTGGCATCCAACTGAAATTAATACATATATGCTCTTTTGTCTTGAAAATGATTTGTGACTTTAGCTAGCTGATTATACTGCTCAAAGAGTAGGACAAGAGTCTGAGAAGCAATACAAGAAGATGTTGATCCAGAATTGGTGATCCGGAAAGATGAATTTCTTAATCAGCAACTATAGAACTATGGGTCTCACCTGTATAACTGTTCAGTGTGGAATTCAAGTGTGCATGTAGCCATTTCCCTGGAGTTTTGCTTAAAATTTTCAGTGCCAAAGTGTTTTATAATGTAAATTTAATACACCTTGCATCCCAAAATGCAAAATTGTAAACTCTATGGAAATGAGTGTATATGTGGGATAATTCATCTACATATGGCTCTAAATAGGTTCAGGCTGTCTTGTCTGTGTCCTTTTTGGACAAAACAATTGGATTCATCATGTGATTCTCCTATACCACAGCTGGAGAATTACATTTATTATCTTCTGATTATCTTCTGATTGGTTGACATGGGCAGCACAAAACCTTCTTTCTTTCTTTCTTTCTTTCTTTCTTTCTTTCTTTCTTTCTTTCTTTCTTTCTTTCTTTCTTTCTTTCTTATACCATCTCAAATTAATACTATATACTTCAGAATACATCAAGTATTCCAACCTATGAAAGTATACACGTAAGACATATACAGATACTTATTTGAGTATAACTTTTGTTTGCATGAGTTCTGAAACTGGTAACTTAGATTTGTGTTCTTAGTTTTACTGGCTAGCATGAAAGACATTGCATTAAAGTATCCTCAATTAAACTGTACATAAGAAAGCAATGCATTAAATTTACTAACCCCTTCTGATGGATATGCCACCCATCCCAGGTCTCCAGCGGCAGACATAGAATCAAGTAAGGTTACTGGAAGGAAAACAGAAAATCACTTAGAATTTTGAGCTTAGATTGTCTAATGATGATACACACAAGTCAACATTCAACTACTGCTAAATACTCCATTATGTTCTGACGTACAGTACAGATTAAATAAAACTCCATTTACGAGCCAGCCCAGGCACAGATATTATATGTTTTCTCGATGTCTTCACAGAATAGCAGGTGAAATAATTAGTGTGCACAATGTAAATCTTCTTTAAACAAGTATATATTGATGTCAATTGTATTTCAAATCCATTTCATCTACAAAACCAATTTATTTCAATAGAGCCAAATGAATAATACTGTGGACTAATGCTTGTTAAGAAAAAATCACACATGCAGAATGTTTTGCTCTGTTGGTATAAGTTTTCTATTCAAAGCAAGTGAATGAAGACCTTTAAGTGCATTATAACCAAACCAAATGTTAATGAGCACTCTCCAACACATGTAATGTGATCTAACACTCAAGTTTTTTAGAAACCACATACACTCTAAAATATGTGTGGGCTCCAAGAAAATGTTACAAAACATAGATTCAGACTGGCATTTACTTTTGGTACATTTAGCTAGGGACTTGCCATGGCATAGCTGTAAAAGCGGTGGGGGTCCCTAGGATGCAAAAGTTTAGCACCTAAATAAAATGTAGGTGTGCATTGCAAATCATCTTAGCTGATCGGCCAGACTACATCAGACAAGGAAGAAGCATTATGGGGCCAGTGAAAAGTAGAAGGGCTGTCCGTATTGAAATTGTGGACTAAACATCTTCACCCATTAAGCTTACAAAGTAAAAATAGCTGCTTGTTTTACAGGTTGACTCCAGGCAAGCAGCTGCATCTAATGCACACATGGAGACTGTTTTACCTGCCAAATGATTTGTATATCTGCCCATCTAGTCCTGAAATGTACAAAGCCATGTCAGACAGAACAGCTTCACTGGTCGAAGCCTAAGATTTGACAGGAATGGGGTATCAAATTAATGAGATCATCTCTTTGCTCTCTCTGCTTTCCACTTCTGTCAGCACGTTGTTTTCCAGCAGATATGCATGCAGCACACTTGATTGGCTGAGTGTACTGCTTCTCCCTCCCCTAATTCTACTGTGCAGGGCATTAAAAGTGGCTAACACTCATTTCAATTAAGGTAGTGACACTAGTTGCATTTAAAATAAATGTCATCATTTCAGTGAATGCATAACTGAATAATTGGTATTGTATATTTACACAGGCTTGAAATTTATCTTTAAAGATTTTTGTAATTTAAGCAGAGTTTAGGTATGTTGAATAAACACATAAACATCTTTTGAGCTTTTGCACATATCAACAATTAGAAGCATAATCCCTAAAGGAAGTAACGTATGGAAAAAGCTAAATATATATTAAGTCAAGAAAAACATAAATCATACTGCATATACTGTATATAATCTTAAACAGAGAACCTCCAGAAATAGGTACTCATCATCTGCCACGAAACCAATTACTTTAATAAAATTAAAATATTTTCACATACAGAGGGCAGTACAGGAAGAGATAGTCTGAAAGTACCTACAGATAGAAAGTATCTTCAGATAAAAAGGTACCTATAGATAAAAAGTATCTACAGATAGAAAATACCTACAGATGGAAAATACCTACAGATAAAAGGTACCTACAGATAGCAAGTATCTACAGATAAAAGGTACCTACAGATAGCAAGTATCTACAGATAAAAGGTACCTACAGATAGCAAGTATCTACAGATAAAAGGTACCTACAGATAGCAAGTATCTACAGATAAAAAGTACCTACAGATAGAAAGTACCTACAGAGGGTAGAAGCTTATTTGTTCTATAAACGCAATTTGGGGACCAGTCTTATCTAATAGCGAATAACACCAAAAATGTCCAAGATAGCAAGTAAATATTTAATTTGATGTTAGCGTTCTGGGATTATCAGCTGCAGTCACCCTGACCCCATTCAATATGGAAATATCACTTATATGAATCTAAATTTCGGGTATCAGGTAACAGCCCTCTAACGTATGTGGGTACTTTTGCAATTATTTATTTTTTAGCACAAAAAGTAATTTGCATTCTTAAAGTGGAAGTAAACAGCTTTGTACATTTTTTTTGTGTTTGCCCCAATGTTCAAATATGCACAGCACACTTGCACATCAGAGCACGCTTATCTTTCAAATGTGCCCTTCTTCAGTCATGTGGGATAGACCAGTCCTCAGCTCTGTCCCCCACCACCGCCGGCATCTTAAAGTTGCCTTGAATGGGCTGAGTGTGTACACGGATCTTGGGTTTGGACTGCGCTGGAAAAAATGGCCATCGAAGCCTGAATGCAGATGGTGTGAACCGGCCCTAAATGATGCTAAAGGTAACGTTGGTAAACAAAACGCATCAGAATATTGTTTAATTACCCATTGTAAGATAAATGCTTCTTTGCAAAAAATAAATCTTACCTGCCTATTTAATTTCAATCACTTTGTCTGAGTCTATCAAAGGTCAGAGGTCATATGAGGCCTGGCAGTTAACCTTGCACACTGTCTCCCCACTTCTGAATGTGTATAAGGACAGGTGTAGCTGGCCATTTAAAAAGCCACATGTGGCACATGTTGTGCTTAGATCCTTCCCTTATATTTACAGGGTTCATCATAAGAGGGCTTGTTCACTCTACATCGTTAACCTGCATAAATGGATGCGGGCTCAATGTCAGTGCACATGAAAAGGGACAGTGCCTTGCATTGTTATGCTTCCTCACTACTGCTACACAATGGAGACAAGCCCGCACCCATTTCAGCATGCAGGCTTGGGGGTGAACGAGCCCTGAATGTGTATTTGCCATTTTGTGTACCTTAATACAACCGTACCCTACGGAGGTCCTATGCATTGTGCTAGGCAAAACTGACAAGTTAAGCACCAATACATACAGGGTGCAGGCAGACAATTAAACAGCCATGTACACTTGCCCTTATAGCATTAAAGGAGAACTATGGGGTCAGTGTTTTTCCCCATAGTTCTCCTTGGGGTAACGGGAGGACACAAACTAGCGTCCTCCCGTTACCCTAAGCTCAGTATACCGCGAGCTACAGCTCGCGGTATACTGAGACGCCGCACCTGGAGCGGATCCCGACTTAGATGACGGGATCCGCCCAGCTGCGTGAGTGACAGCTGGCTCTGCCTATCTAGAGGCAGAGCCAGCTGTACCCGCCCCCTCCCCCGTCCGTTCCGCCAGTCAGCGCTGGCAGATCGGAGCGGGGAGAGGGGAATCCAGCCCCTCCCCGTGTCACGGCAGAGAGCCGTGACAGGATCGAGAGGTGAGGGAACCCGGTATGTGTTCCCTCACCTCCCGATCTACTGAGCCGACCTGTGACAGTCTCATTGTCACAGGTCGGCTTAGAACTATGAGGTGAGTGGAAATCACTCATGTCATAGTTCTCCTTTAAAGAAGAACTCTTGGCAAATAAATCTTAACCCTTGCAGAGGGATTCCCCTTGCAACTCAAGGGTTAAGTGCTTGTTTTGTCTAAGGAGCTAACATAACAGAGTTATACCCACCCGAACCATGATCCCATCTGGCTGTTAGATCGGTCCCTTCAGCCTGTCTCCTCCTCTGCTGCAGCGGTTATGTCCCTCGGCGTCCTCACATCCTATACACTGTATAGGATGTAGTGACTCACAGGACCTTAGACCACTGCAGTGGAGGGGGGGTGAGACTGAAGGGACTGATCTAGTAGCCAACCAGGATCATGATTCAGTTGAGTATAACTTTGGTATTTTAGCACCCTAGACAAAATAAGTACTTCACTCTTGCAGTGCGGAGGTAGCCCCAATGTAATATTTAAGTTTTTATTTGCCTGGAGTTCCTATTTAAACAACAGTCTGGCAATTGTGTGCATTTCCTTTAAAGTGTAACTAAAGCTTTTTTTTTCATGTTGTTTAGGGTAAGGGAGGATTATAACCCCTGTTAGATTTTTTTCACCATCTGTGTCCCATTGGAGAGATTTCCCTTCACTTACTGTTCAATAGCCACAACAAGTGAAATACCTCCAAAGAGAGGGAAATCCCTGGTGGTGAGCAGGGATGTTAGAATTAGTGTCCCCATTGTAAGATTCCCCATCTATTCCTGTTCTGTTGGCAACTCAGAATTTGGGATTTTCTTCTTTGGTATTTTTTATTAGTAGGTTCAGTGATTATGGTCACCAGGACAGACAGCATAGGTGTATCTCCTTAACGAAGACACAGACAGCAATAAAAATCTGACAGGTGTTCCAATCCCCCTCCAGTTGTGAAACAATCACCATAGCATCCCAAGCTGCCGCTATGGGGCCCGGGGCACATGGGGGCCGACCAGGACATCACCCCTGATGCCATGCGGGCCACCTGGGACGCTATGGCATCTCAGGCTGTTGGCTGTCACTGGCGGCTGTGAGGAGGAGCGCGCCGCTGTTCAGATCACTGACACCCGCGTTCCTCCTCACAGCCGCTGCTGAGTCACTGACAGCCAGCAGCTGCGGAGGAGGAGGCTCAGCCTGGCATCAGCAGTGAAGGAGGAGGCGGAGACAATCGATGGAGGAGGCTCGGCCCGATGATTGAGGGGGTGGGACCCATCAACTGAGGAGGCGGGCCTGTAAGCGACCATGGAGAAGGAGGAGGCGGACAGTGGATCAGGGCTGACAGGTAAGAGGGTGTGACCAGTCCACCTGAGACCGTGCAGAGCCCACCATAGAGAGTCTATGGTGGGCTCTGCAGGGTCACTCTCAGGTGGTCTGTGTGGGCTATCCAATGGTCGCAACTAGAAATCACAAGGCCCTATACAAAATTTTGCTATGGGGTCCTGTGGTTTCTAGTTACGCCCCTGCTCCCCTCTATCCAAAACAAACAAAAAAAGTTTTGACTTTATTTCTATTTTAAAGCAGAACTCCATCCAAAACTTTTATTAACCTTTGCAGTGGGGCTAACCCTGCACTGAAAGGGCTACCTACTTATTTTTGTTTAGGTGCTAAAATACAAAAGTTATACTCACCCGATACTTGGAGCCAGCTTGTTCTTAGACCGGTCCTTCCACCGTCTCTCCCCCTCTGCTGCAGTGGTCTAAGGTCCCTAAATCATCATGTCCTATACAATGTATTGGACGTGAGGACGTTGAGGGACATACCATCACTTCAGTGTAGAAGGAGAGAGGCTATAGGGAGCCCTGTGACAGCTGGCCGACTCCGAGATTTCGGTGAGTATAACTTTTTCATTTCAGCACAGAGACGAAAACAAGCAGTTAACCCATGCAGTGCAGAAGTAGCCCAACTGCAAAGGTTAATAACATTTTTGCCCAGAGTTCTTCTTTAACCACATGGCTTTGTTACATGGCACTGTGATGCACCCTCGAGTATAGATAAAGTGCACGAAATCAGAAATGTGACAGGAAAGCACCTGAGACCCCTGACTCCCAATATGACTCACCCTGTGACTTGAGAGATTATATAATTAAGAGCTTACAGCAGCTTCTGTGCACAGGTAATGTAAGATGGAATAACATAAGGAACAGAATTATACTGAACAATTCCCTGTTTGGCATGACTTTCTAAGTATAATTCACATAACTTATAAACAGGTATGAAAGTAAAAATTCACTAAACTTAGTGAATGAGGTGAAGCTGTGCTGAGTCAGGTGAGATCTGTCATTAAACAATAAGAACTGAGCGGGGCCAGTCTTGACGTCACGGCCAGCTCTGCCCAGTTGTTATTCATTGGCAGGGACATGCTAGCTCCTGCTTGTTCTGCCCAATTGTATTTCTTTTAATTTTAAATATTTTAATTTTATTTTTAATTTTCCTATTTTGGATCATTTTTAAAATAATATCTTAACCTTTTTTTTTACATTTAATTTCACTCTTTTCCCTTATTTGCTATTCTGCTCTGTACCACGGAGGTACCAAGCAGAATAGCCGAGCTGAATGGGGCGAACGGCAGCGAATGAGCTGCCGGAGCTTCGGCTCAGCTGATCCACATGTTGGATCGGCTGAGTCGAAGTCCTTCTGCACTTCGGCTCAGCTGAACATGCAGGGCATGTTCACCTGACCGAAGGAGCGGTAAAGAGCCGATGTATGGCTGATTTCTGCCTATGTACGGCTGAAATCAGCCGTACTGAGCCGGAGTGAATAGCCGAGCCTCATTCAGCTCTGTTCACTTCGGCTCACTTATCCACTCGGCTGCCTTTGGCAGCTTTGTAAATAACCCTGTTAATTAAGTAAATGTGGTGAACATTTTCTTGGCAAAGAAAATGCAATCATGTACAAGAAAAATGAAAAAAGAACAGTATTTTTGCTTGGACGTGATTGGATGATGGAAGTCAGCAGAACTTCACCTCATTCACTAAACTAAGAGAAAATGTTCTAGCAAAAATACCGTTTTTTTTTAATCTTCCTTGCACGTGATTAGGTATTCTTTGCAAAAAAAATGTTTCCCTCATTCACTAAGCTAAGTGCAAATTCCCTTGTAAAGTGAACCGCCTATTTGCCTTTAGTAAATCAACCCCAGTAAGTCTACTCATCGCGTTATGTCTGGACTTAAGATAAAATCCAAATACAGTGGTACCTCGGTTGATGAACTTAATTCATTCCACGATTCTGGTCGCGAACCGAATTGGTCGTGGACCGAATCAAATTTCCCCATAAGGTTCAAATACTGTACAGTACTGTATGTGCTAAAAAGCACACAAAAAGCGTCACGGCAAGTGTGCATAGTTCTGTCTGCGACTGCAATCTTGATTGGAGGAAACCACGACCAGGTGTCAGAGCGGGGAAGATGGCCGCGGTCGTGTTCGTCACCCAATGTGGAGTTCGCCAATGGAAGCAAAATTTTGCTGAACTTTCTGTTTGCGAACTGAATTGTTCGCGCACAGAAGCATTCGCGAACCAAGGTATTACTGTATAAGCTGAAAATGTTCAGAAACTTAAAATCCACCCGAAATATATTTTTTTGCCCTACCCTGTTGCCTTGTGGTTATTTGTTGAGGTCATCCATACCCCATAAACTGCCTTCATGTTGTTCTAATACACAAAAATGATTTAGCATGTTGCAGCACACATTTCAATACAGTGGGGTTAATTTATTGAAGGCAAATAGGTTGTTCACATGGCAAGGGAAATTTCTCTTAGCTTAGAGAATGTGGTAAAAATTCACTTTGCAAAGAATAGCTAATCATGTGCAAGAAATGTAGCTAAAAAGAGTATTTTTGCTTGCATATGATTGGTTGATGCAAGCTCATGAGTCAGCTCATTCACTAAGCGAAGGGGGAAATTTCCCCGCAAAGTAAAAATCCCATTGTAAAGTGAACAGCCCATTTGCCTATAATCAACCTCTTTAACACTGACAGTGGGTATACATTGTTAATGAACATGGACACAAATGACACAATGTACATAGATCTACACAGATCCTGGGTTCAGTCACCCCTATGACAGACATATGACCACTATGTGATGGCATGTCTCCACAAGTGCCTCTCACCTGTACATGATGTAAGAACACAGGGGTGCAGTGCATCAGACGGCAGTACTGTATTAAGAAAAACAAAGACATGTCATTTCCCTACAAAATGTTAGCAATGGAGGACTATAGAGGCCTCCTTTTTTATAACATACTTGTAATTCCTGGGCTGGATGATGTTTTACATTAGATTGACCCAGATTAACCTTACTACATTCCAGAGCAATGGTCTTACTTGAAGCGTATCTAAACCCAAAAGCAAAAAGTGTCATATATAGTAGCTGGCCAATCCTTAAATGTGGTGGATGCATTCATTTACTTTATTTTCACCTGGCGACCCGGCCAGCAAGTCTATTATTTTTCATCTTTCTTTAACAGACCAAGCTGTCCGGCAAAAGTGGTAGATAGATGGATGAGACAAACCATTTCACATTGACAATGGTCATCATTATTCATATTTGTATAACCTTTATTTCAAAAAGCAAAAAAACTATTGCTGGAACTGCTTAAAAGTGTTAGCTGGAGTTCAGATTTAATTTGTTAGTCAAGTCCATCTAAATCTTCTAGAATATCTAACACTCCCTCCCCTCCCCAGGGTGACAATACTGCTGTCTAAGGGTGGCTCCATTGCTCCTCCATAGAGTGGAGTCACCTTAAGACAGGAACTGTGTTATTTTCACGACTTTAAAAAAAAGGAAAAACATTAAACAGAAAACGAATGCAGCCACAATATTTAGGCATCGGTAAGCTGATGTATTTTACATATTTGTTTTTCGGTTTGCATTTACTTTAGGAACTCCGGGAAAACGTTTTCTTAACCCTTGCACTGGGTCTACCCCTGCACTGCAAGGGTTAATTGCTCATTTTTGTCTAGGTTCAAAAATAACAAACTTATACTCACCCGAAGCTCCCAGCCAGCCAGCTGTCACAGCATTCCTTCCCACCTATTTCCTGCCCATTGGCGTCATCACACTGTGTATAGAAAACAATGATTTATAGGACCTTAGACCGCTGCAGAGGATGGGGAAAGACACTGGAAGGACAAGTCTAAGAGCTACCCAGCTCAGAGCCTCGGGTGAGTATAATTTTTTTGTAACCTAGGACAAAAACGAGCAGTTAACCCTGGCAGTGTGGAGTTAGCCCCACTGCAAAGATTAATACATTTTTTTCCTGGAGTTCTTCTTGAATAACAAGCAGTGGAGATTTGCAAGAACCCATAAAAACAATATAATCTCAGCTTTTCAGTGTTATCTCAGTGAGTATTTTTAATTGGTTGGCAAGGGTTACTGCGCATTGCACATCTACATTACTCTTTGCATTGACTTCATATAGATTTATAGACATTTGTTGACTTATGCAGATCTCATGATCCCAGTGAGTTGTAGTGTGACATATTCAAGATGAGTACTGCAAGGGGAAATGCTGGTTACCCACTCAAAGCAATCAGATTCTTACTATCATTTTATTGTGTTTTCAAAATTAAAACAAGCTGCTGTTTTTTTAAACACAACTCTGCTATTTTGGTATATATAATTAGGGCTGGTAATGATTACAAATTTCCTGTTCAATTAATCGAAAAAAAATTTTACCGGACTCCTCCCCCTTCCCTTCATTAGCCGACAGCCACTTGGGGAAGGGGGGAGGAGTCCGGTGACGTCGATGTCCATGACATCACCGGATCTCCGACGGAAGACCCGGAAGCCGGCGGAGAGGTGAGTACGGATCAAAAGAACTTTGATCGATCAAAATAATTTTGATCGATCAAAAAAATTAACGAATAATCGAGGGATTAATCGCTAATTTCCGCAGCCCTAATATATATTAGTCTTCACAAAAGTCCCTGTTTTGCACCACTGCCAAAATGTATTTTTCACACTTCCATGTTTACTACTTAAAGTGGCACTAAACTTAGGGACCCAGCACTGGGGATCCCTGGTTTGAAATTTCGGCCAGGTCACCATCTGCAAAGGAGTTTGCATGTTCTCCCTGTGCTTGCATGGGTTTCCTCCAGGTACTCCGGTTTCCTCCCACACTCCAAAGACATGCTGGGAGGTTAATTGGCTCCTGTCTAAATCGGCCCTGTATGTGTGCATGTGAGATAGGGACCTTAGATTGTAAGCTCCTTGATGGCAGGGACTGATGTGACTGTGAAACTATGTAAAGCGCTGTGTAAATTGTTGACACTATATAAATACATGTAATAAATAAATAAATCTAAATCTTAAAAATACATTCAAGTACCTTGGACTACAGTTTCATGTCTCATGTTTAGTTTTCGAATTTGTATTTAGATTGTAGTCCATCGTGTGAGTGAGCTTGGAGCGGTGACTACTTTACAACATACACAGGGACCATAGGGAACAAAAGTAGCCACTCTCCAGAAGGAAGGACAGTGTCAGCACCAATTCAGAGATGATTTGAGGATCTACAGCCGAGTGATACACAATTAAGATACATTTCTGTTAATAAGTATTTTTAAGATTTAACTCCTGAGTGTCACTTTAAAGAGGACCTTTCATTAACACTGCAAGTCAGCATGGAGTAATCCAGCACCTGTCAACACCAACAGGGGCGTAACTAGAAATCACAGGGCCCCATAGCACTGCTGGGCCCTGACATCCTCCCCTGCCATACCGCCATACTGGCACTGTTGGGCCCCAGCTTCCTCTGCTGCTGGGCCTCGGCCTCCTCCACCACCATTGCTGGGCCCCAAACTCCTGACCGGGTCCCCCTCTGCCCCGAGCCCCATAGCAACTGCGTGGGTCACTATGGCGGTAGTTATGTCACTGAACACCAATACATATAATGCTATCAAAGTAACATAATCATCTGCCCTTGTTTATCTCCTCAGCACCTCTCCTTTTCCTATGTAATGATTCACTAACCTCCTATGTCCTTCACCAATTGGCACACAGTAGCTACGTTTTTAACAAAAATAATATTGGCGTGCTTGAGCAATTGAAAACTATCACATAATAGTTAAAGTGTATCTAAACCTAAAAACAAAAATCCAATACATTGCAGTTTATCCGTCCTTAGATGTGATGGCTGCATTCATTTTCTTAAGTGCCCTTTCACACGGGCTTTCCAATCAGGTCCATCTGTCAGTTTTTCAAAGGGACCTGATCAGAAGCCCAATGTTAGTCTATGGACAGCCGGATCTAAATGGATGTGCATCCATTTACATCTGGTAACCCCCAGATCCAACCAGGTCCAGAAAAACAAACGGATCAGAGTTCTGGAGATTGGGGAGGTGATTGGGGGTAATTTGATATATAAAAGCTGATCAATATAACACTGTACTATCATAGTCTATTTCATATCTTAACAAACCTGCAGGCGGCTGTCAATAAGAATCCATTTACATATAGCAGATTATTTTCAACTGGAAAGATTTACAAGAAATAGTAAGTATGCCTTTACTGTAGAAGGCGCTGCTTGAAATTTTTAAAAGGACAGGTAAACTTGTCCTTTAAAAGATAAATTCACCTTTTGCACCACTTTTGCAAAAATTAAATAAATAGATCATTATTAATATATAAAAAATATGCATTTCTTTAATATTCGCATTCAAGCCTGGAAAGCATTGTAATAGTGATCATTAGATCACAGGTGCAAAGCTCAGGCTTCTGCACATTTTCAATCTGTCTGCGCTTGTACTGAGCTACGTTGTTTCAGTTAAAAGAGATGGGCGGGAAGGACGGCTGGACTTCAAACTGCATTAAATCACCTCATGCAGCATCCAGCCGACCTCCCTCTAGGTAGATGCGAGAATATGGGCAGCTCTACCTAGAGCTTGTACTGAGGTACGTTGTTTCAGTTAAAAGAGATGGGCGGTAAGGACGGCTGGACTTCAAACTGCATTGAATCACCTCATGCAGCATCCAGCCGACCTCCCTCTAGGTAGATACGAGAATATGGGCAGCTCTACCTAGAGCGGGAACGGGAGGACGGGGCTGGATGCCGTATGAGATGATTTACTGCAGTTTGAAGTCCAGCCGTCCTTCCCCCCATCTCTCTTAACTGAAACTTTGGCCCTCTGTACGTGCTCTGACAGTTTGAAAATATACAGAAACCTGAGCTTTGCAACCTTGATCGAGTGATCACGATTGTAATGCTTTTGTAGGCTTGAATGCAAACATTAATGAAATGCATATTTTTTTGTATATTATTAATTATGCATTTCTTTAATTTTGCAAAAGTGGGGCAAAAGGTGAACTTATCCTTTAAGCTTATGCCATTTCCTTTTAGGCTCAGGTTTAAGTGTTCAGTGTCATAAAAAGATAGGTTTACTGAAGGAAGTGGCAGTTCCATGTCTTTTTTCATTATTCATAATCTAGGATTATTCTTATATTTATTTTGTCCATACAATGAAAGTTATAACCTGACTGGCTGATACTGGCCGCTTGTGTTCTCATTTACTTTTCTTTCTCATTTTCTTTTCTTCAAAAGAGGTTGCATTTTATGTGCTGGTGCCACTACTGGTTTTCTGTTGGTTGGACATGGGGGCTTTTTAGAAATATATTATTTCAGCATTGCAGGTTTTCTCAAAAATCTTTTTGAATAACAGATTTACACGTTAGTTTAAGTTAATAAAATATGAGGATTCCTGAATCTGGAAAGGAATGTCTACTTCCATAATTTGAAAAGCAACCCACCATCAACCCAACATCATTTGACAAGTCCCCACTAACTACTAGGGAAGAGCAAATTAATTTTTTTTTTCAAGCAAATTTGCCTAAGTAGCTCAATGAGCAAATCTGGAAGCATGACTGGTCATTTTGCCTTAATCACTCTGGTCATCTCTACTGACCACTTATTTGCATTATGGAGCACCCAAGTGTTGGACTTCTTAATACTGTGCACAAAGTTCCAATTAATGCAAAAACTCCTTTTGAACACAAATATGTACGCCTCCTTTCTACTATCATTTAGGATAACACGTGAACACTTGAGAAACTTCATTAGAGTTTTCCTAATTCTTGTTCCGAATCTCCATGTGAACGTAGCCAAGGAGGACCATGGAACTGTTACATGTCATATACTTTCAAACGTTTTTATTATTATTT